TCCACATTTAATTTAAGTCAAATGTCGATGTGTTTCTTTTTTATACTGTAGATCGTAGAAAAATATGCCAAATCAGACATTGAGATCCATACATTTAACCAGGTCTGATTATCTTACACTAGAAAGTCTGTACTTTTCTTTGCATTGAAATTATTTGACATGTTGTTGACGTTTATCTTCTACCTTTTTCACAGAGTCAGTACCCTCGTTTAGCTGTTGACAATTTCACTCCACTTCCATGCATAAAAGACGCTGGCAAGGATGGATGGTATTTTACACGATTGAATTCTTTGCTCTTCTGATAATTTAATTGTTAGACTTGGTCAATCGGTTAAACATCTACATTACAAGTACTTGTGAAATTCTTCTTTCGAAGATATAAATTTTTGGGGTTCTTGATTTGAAATGGAAAATAATTGATTTACTGTAATATTCATAATCATATTTGTATTCATTTTCCAATTCCGTTTTCATATTTACTAATTGTATCTGCTGCTGTTCTCTGTAAACGGTTTTTACTCTCACCATTAGCTTAGTTCCTTTCTTTTGGGATGAAATATACTTGTCTTTTTCTGCTTTTGTGATTCAGACATCAATGTTTACATATTCGTCATATAAAGATTTGCATGCATTGTCCAAGCTGTTTATTTCAGGATCATATTAGTTAAGTAATCAAATGTGGCAAATATTTTATGTAAACTGTTCAAGCTCATGAATGTGGCTTGCTTGTTCAGGTATCCCCCTGGTCACGGCGATGTGTTCCCATCTTTGGTGAATAGTGGGAAGCTTGAAGCTTTATTATCGCAGGTTGAGCCCTTTAAGATGCAGTTTTCTTTGGTTTGACATTCAAAAATACTACTATCTTTCGCTAATATAAGACCTAATCCTTTTTTTTTTTTCATTCACAGGGCAAAGAATATGTCTTTGTTGCGAATTCCGATAACTTGGGCGCTGTTGTTGATTTGAGTATCCATACTTGGTGACTTGAATTAAGTTTTACCCCCTTAGAGCTGTTATATGCTAACAGTGTGCATGTGAATATGCGTGTGTTAAGGTCTGTTTTATTTTTATGTCTTTATGGAGTCACCAATCTACAAAAGGACTACTAACAATGCGACAAGTGCTGATTTTTCAAGTGTTTGTTCAATTATTTTCCTTAATTCGTTGCTTCAGACATTTTAAATCACTTGATCAACAACAAGAATGAATACTGCATGGAGGTACTGCTAAGAGGCTGCTGTATGCTTTGGATCATTTTGCTGTNGGACTCTAAACTGAAATTGGAATATATAATAATTGAATTATTAAAGAAGACGACTTTACAAAAATAAAATATAAATTAATACTTTGGAGTTTAGAAGAATGTGCCTTTTACTTATATTTTGCTAATCTCAAAAATATTCCTTGTCTAATTTTTTTAAAGAATTATTGTTATTGTTTTTCTTTGGTTAATTTTCAAAGGCTAGATTTGTCAAGACATTTGTCCAAAATCGATGATGAATTTGTTATCAAATTTGGTTTGTTTGAGCATGCCTGGTGGATTTTTTTAGTAGAAGTGATTCGCTATTAGTGTATTTTGTTTCTTACTGAAATCTTGGCCCACACAACATATGGTTAAGCCTTTTGAACCCTTAAAGACCAGCTGATCTCAATGCTTGCTGTAAAAAACTGTGTCATTGTACTGTTGGGCATTTTAATTACAATTCAGATATATGGTGGAGTATGAAGGGCAGTAAACCTGGTGAGCAGAACGTTCTGTAGCTAACCTTTAAAACACCATAGTAGGTTTGGGATATAATATTCCCTTGAATGTCTTCTATTTAATTCGTTCAGGGGTCTATGTATAGGTATGCCTTCCTATATAGCAGTTGTACTTGTATGTCCAGCACATTTCAGCGCTAAGAGTGTTAAAGTGACCACAAGACACCATGCTACAATGTTCAAGAAGTTAGAAGCCTGTTCATCAGGTGTATGTATAACATTGCAGATTATTGCCTTCGCGCATACTTTGAAGATAGTTAATAGTTTAGTTACTAACAGATTTTCTTAGATTAATGACTACTTTTATAAAGTACAAGTACTCATAAAACCCTTTTTTGTATAGATTTGGTGATTTTGGTTGATAGTATCTTTTTTTCTGTGAGTGATGATGAGCTACAGACCCACTGTAAATATAGCTCAGTGTTATATTTTTCCTGTCCAAATTGTCGCTTGTCATATACGAAATTAGGGAACCAGACGTATTTATTTGCACCTCTTGAAACTATATATATCCATGTTCAAATTCACCTGCAATAACTGCTTTCTTATCTGTATGCAGCTGCTTGAAATAGCACAAGTTCCTGATGAACATGTGAGTATCTCTCTCTCTCTCCCCTATAAAATATGTGGTTAAAATTAAATGTTGACTTTGACTTAAATTAAAATTTGGATTATAATTTCTACCAAATAGGGGCTATATATGACTATTATTTTCCTACTCCAAATGGTGTTTTATAGAGAGAAATGATAAAGTCGTCGTGAATGCAAGTTCAATATCCCCCAAACTTGGCTAAGGAGACTGATAAATTATGTAAATAATATATTTTTATAGCATGACATGTTATTCAGTTTCATTTTCTTTTATCACCAGGTTTAGTTGAAACCAAAGAAGGAAAAAAAAATACAAGTATGAGTAAAAGTCAGGAATGAATTTTGCTCCACTCTCTAAGAGTTATTCGTATTTCAAGGGGCATGTCACATATTTTAAGCATGTGAAAACTTAAAACTTTTGATTCACAAGGAAAGAATCAGTCGGATCAGTTAGGAATTACAATTAATATATTGGATAATGTAGAGCTGCATAAAGTGCAATGTTGTACCAGTAAGACTTTTTCTCAATTTTAAACTTTATAAGAAGGTTGAAGAAGTGAAGTGAGTTGGGGAAAATATGTTACAAGAATTACCCAAATAGAGTGGCTTAATGTACATATGCAATCCTATTGCCTGACTTTTCATTCTTTTGATATGAAAGCATGTCTCTACTGGTGGTTATTTAATTCCCAGGTTATAGTTATCTATCTAATGCAGTAATGCTTGCTTGGGATGTTTGTGGATGATGTAGATATTTTCTCTTGCATGCAGGTTAATGAATTTAAGTCGATAGAGAAGTTCAAAATTTTCAACACAAACAACTTGTAAGCCATGACAGTACCTCACTCGAATTAGTTACTTGTTGGATAATATTGAATATTTTTCTTAGGGAAATTGTAATAATACAAATGGACCACAAATCATGCAGGTGGGTGAACCTGAATGCAATCAAAAGACTTGTACAAGCAGATGCACTGAAGATGGAGATCATTCCCAACCCAAAGGTATCACTTTATTTCGAGCAGGCTCCTGAACATGGCAATTTTTATAGGGTAGTTGCAATCTGTCTAAAGATATTTTCATTTCCAGGAAGTGGATGGAATCAGAGTTCTTCAACTTGAAACCGCTGCTGGTGCAGCAATAAAGGTACACAATCACGTGTCATTTTTCTACATTACTGTCATATAATTTTGTCCAACTGCCCCTTCTCAAAAGTTGTACTGATTACGTTTTTGTTTCCCACATATGTTGTCAATCAGTTCTTCGATCGTGCTATTGGCATCAATGTTCCCCGTTCTCGATTCCTTCCAGTGAAAGCGACTTCAGATCTGCTTCTAGTCCAAGTAAATTTAATCTGATTGCAAATGTACATGCAGACATCTAGATTTCAATGTTCCCCGTTCTCGATTCCTTCCAGTGAAAGCGACTTCAGATCTGCTTCTAGTCCTAGTAAATTTAATCTGATTGCTAATGTACATGCAGACATCTAGATATTTAAATCCTTGATTCCCAACTCATTTGGTTGATTTTTCAGTCGGATCTTTACACCTTATCTGATGGCTTTGTGACCCGGAACCCAGCAAGGACCAATCCAGCCAATCCTTCTATTGAATTGGGTCCTGAATTTAAGAAGGTTAAAACCTATTCCTTCTATTATTTGCATTAGCTTGGTGCAATTCTCTGTCTATGCAGACAGTTAATGACTGTTCATTTTTAGGTTGCCAACTTCTTAAGTCGATTTAAGACTATCCCAAGTATCATTGAGCTGGATAGCTTGAAGGTGACTGGTGATGTATGGTTTGGATCTGGCATTACTTTGAAGGTATTGTGACATTCTTTCTTGCATTTCTATTTATCTGCTCTGGCTTTGTTGATATGTGGAGTTCATAATCTTGCGAGGGATAAAAACAGTGGTTGTCGCTGGACTTCTTGCAAAATTTGACGTTTGTCACCAAGTTTGAATATTTGATAAACTTTGATCGCTCCGTCCATGTGTATTAGTATCACTAGCACAAAAACTAACATGGTCACTACACCTTTTTTGTTAGTCAAACAAACATGCAAATCGTACGACCAAATTGTATACAAGTTTAAGTTAATCAACTAAAACGAAATGAAATTTAACTAAAATGATTTTTTTGCTAAAAATTCAATGACTACTGTGTATTTATCCCATTTTCTGATCTTAGTCTTATTCTCTTGCGATTTACCTTTTTGTATATATTTTCCTTTTGTTAGGGTAAAGTGATCATTGCTGCGAAACCTGGTGTGAAGTTAGAAATCCCCAATGGAGCTGTAATTGCTAACAAGGTAATATACTCGAGCAGTCTGTTTCAGAATTCAGTTATAATCTAACAAGTATTCTTATCGGTTGATTTTCTTTTACTTGTATCCAGGAGATCAATGGCCCACAGGACATATAAAATAGTTGCGCTATGGTAATCACAGGCAGTTGGTTTTGAAGCAGCGATTCGTCTCTGGTTATACGAATTGTGTTTGATGTAAACGTAAGAAAAATAAATCGAAATGCCCTTTATGGATAATTAATATGTACTCAATTTTGTTTTGCTGCAAATTGTGATAGGGTGCTCCAGGCTATATGTGGGCTACCCATTCGTCAATTGTAGCAGCTTATACCCATATTACAAAAATCTTAAACCCTTTTTCTGTCGTGTCTTGATGAACAAAGCTGTTGTAAACATGTTATGGTATAGAAATTGTTCCGTGTGTGTTGTCGGAGTCATCAAATGTTTCAGAAACATTTCGTTTGTATGAAAATTACTGAGTTTTTGTTTGCCTTCACTAGCTGTTTAGTTGCTGGAGATAAGCCTGAAATTTGCCATGATGTGAAGCAATAATCATTTAAGAGATTGGATAATGCAATGTAATGGTATAATTGTTTATTTGTTGGAATTTTAGATTCAAAATTTCTTATTTTGATGTATATATAGTGGAATGTGCTTTAGGTTTTGCTTGAACATGTCCAAGAAAGGATGCTCTACTCAAGATATTTGTATGAAATTTGCTTTTACCATTTTGGGTCGACCCTGTTTTCATACCATTGATATGTAGTCTACAAAATATCACCCACCGAGAAATAAAATTAAGTGGGGATTAAAATTAGATTTTTAGTAGATCGTGATAGAAGTTTTTGAAATGTGTTGTTGAAAAATTGTAGTATTGATCATGGTTATCAAACCCGGACCGGACCGGATCGGCCGGTTCGATCCTGAACCCGTCGAACCATGATCCGGTCCGAGCACACCCATTTTTTTATTAATCAATCAGCCAGCAAAAACCGAACTAAATCGCCCGGTTGTGCGTGAAACCGTTGGCCCAAATTTATTAAACCCGCCCGGTCCAAAACTTCTATCTAAAAACCCTACAAATCCAAAGGAAAAAACTCATTGTCTTTCTCAGCCAAAGTCGATGCCGTAGAAGCCCAGGAATCTCTCTGTCGTCGCTTGCAATTTCACTCCCAAGAATCCAAAGCTCTAATTTCAAGGTTTGTTAGATGGAAGAAGAAGATGTAAGTCCTAAATTTTCGACTTTTTTTTTTTTGTTGCGACTTTCAGTTTTTCACTTTTTTTGTGTGATTATATCAGGTTGAAAATATTTGATAGCTGAAATTGGGAGATTTTTACCATAATTTAGTGTTCTTGTTATACAATAACTGTTTGAAATGGAATTTTATGATTGAAATATGGAATTGATTCATTGGTGATTGTTTACAATTTCCGACTGCCGAGATTCATTGGTTCCACTATTGTTGACGAGTTTTCATTGTTGCAAATCTGAACAGAAACATGTTAATTCAGGTGACTTAATATGAGTAGGTGCTTAATATGAGCTTTAAAAGGTATCTTCAAGAGGTTTGATGTGTTATCATACTGAACTGAAGAGTTTAGACTTGCTGCTTGGTCGGTTTATCTCGTGCTTTGTCGTTATGTTCTTTGGGTTATTATTTGGCAAAATCCTAATGCCTCTCACTTTCAACCTAGTTTTTTCCTAATGATATGTAACTTAAACATAATTTGTGTCTTTGTGCAGTTCGTTGGTGATGTTATTTTTGCAAGAATATTCATATAGTATATAAATATATCTTGTTTACTTTTGCTGCATTATCACATAAATTTGTCTTTGATTGGTGATTATTTATTGCTTCAAATCCATATTTCATTATATGGGATTTACAATTTTTTGAAGAATGAAATAACAATTGATCTTTAGTCACCTAAATTACATAAGGTTAATTTAGTTAGTATTAGAAAATGTCAAAAATTTATTATTCAATAAACAGATAATAATATATTTAAAAAGCATTGACCCGCCGGTCCAACCACCGGGTCAATGGTCGAACCACTGACCCGCTACATTGTTCGAGTTAGTCTCCGGGTCGGGTCGACAACTATGGTATTGATTATTTGATTTTAACTTAAATTAAAATCTGATTTTCATTCAAAACAAATAGGGCCTAAATGTGAATATATCCTAAAATGATTTGTTGAAGGGACTTTTGTTGAATATATAATTTTTAATTCTAATATTTCATAAAGGGTCATGGGTGTTTAGGAAAATGAATATTTTTTAAAAATATATTTTTCTTTATTTTTGTTTTCATTTTAAAAAAATATGTTTAAGTATGGAAAAGTGGGAAATGTGAGTTTTTTCCTTGTTAAAAAATGGTCAAATTGATAGAATTAACGAACTCTTGTATATTTATCCAAAAGTTGGGGACTGTGTTGCCAAAAAGCAAAAGGCTTGGATTCATCTGTACCTTTTGAAAATATTAGGGACCCAGCTGAAATTTTTCCATTTTACAAATGCTTAATACACTGCGTTTTCTACCTCAATTCTTAGGTAATTAAGCACGTGCTCGGTGGAAATTAAAATTTTAATTTTAATTTAAAAGTCAATAGTTGATTTCAATCACATATGTTATTAGGTCCATAATTTTTCAATCACTTAATTCATTATTTTTTATTAAAATTTACTAAAAAATTAATTTTAATCTCCGCTGTGAGCTAAACGATATTTTAATAGCCGTAAGTCTGTAGTAAGAGAAGTAGTTATGAACCCGTAAACCATCTCTATGGGGGTGGTGAAGGCATAGCTCCAATTGGTAAAGAACAACCTACTATCCCATTGGGTTATCCCGCACTTGGAAGCAGAAATATGAAAATGAATAAATATAATGAATTTCTTTAGAAAGATCTTTTGTCTTATGATAACCTACTGAAGTCTTCTTACGAAACTTTCGTTATCGAGTTAGTCATACACTTCACATGTAAGCCATCAATCATTTTTGGTTGAATAACCTAAGAAAAGCTACTTGCTAGGATCCAACCCTGATGTGAGTATTATTTTTGGTGGGACTGGATGCAGGGTTTTCTAGACGAGTAATCAATTTCCCTTCAACATTAGCATAATTTCCATTATACATTTGAAGGATTTAAATCCTTGAGATTTTTATTGCACAAATTCTAAATTTTAGTAACTAAAATTGAGTTGAATTTTGATGAGTTTTTTATATTGCAAATATACGATATCGTAACAAATTATATAGTGAACTTTTGAATCCATATTATTGTACCCACGAGATCTATATTTTAGGGTTTAATCTAATTATTCTAACTTCTATTTGATGAAACCAAACAAATAATTAAAGGTTGTTGAATTTTTGGTTTAAACACTTAAAATTAATTAAAATGCATATGAAGATCAATTTAGAATTCAAATAATGAACTGGTATTAGGACAGAACAATTTCACCTATTGATCACCTTTAAATCTGAATTCAAGATTCAAAAGTCTAATATAGTGTTCAATCGAATTCTTCTATTGTATTCAATTTACCCATTTGGAGTTCTCATTCAACCTATTTAATTAATTTAATCACATATTTCTATTTGAATCAAGCTTAGTTAAACGAAATATTAGTACTAAGAATTCATATAATGATCGCAATAATTAATATATGTATCTCTACACGTTATACTAATTTACCGAATTTTACTATATGGTCTAAATCTCAAACTCACATTTCGATTCGTAAAAGATTCGCAAAATCATCAAATTAGTATTCAAGTAATTTAACGCATTAAACTCATAGCAAAATCAACACGTTTTTAAAATAACGAGAATTTTGAATAAAAGAAATAAATGGTCATAAGTAAATTACATTATTTGCCCTAATATGAATTTTAACTACTCATAGTGCAAAAAGAAAAAAAGAAGTTATTGAGTCCATGTTTGGTACACATTTTTTTAAAATACATTCTTTCAGAACTAATTTTCAATCACACATTCTACAATAAAATAATATTTTTCATCACATCAATAACTTTTCCTTACTTTTTAACCACATATTTCTCATCATGTCACTACTTAAAATACATTCTTTCCTCAAAAATATCTATCAAACACACCCTGAATATATCACCAAATTTTGAATAAAGATATAAAAAAATAATGATAATAATTTTGTAACAAGATCTTCTTTCTCTTTCAGCCAATACTTCAAAACTTGAATTTCTTTATATTTCTCCATTGAATTGCGCTCTTCAATTCCTATTTATATTCTCTTTCTCTCTCAATGTGTGGAATCCTTTTAAAAAGCCAATAACTCCTCTTTATACTCATCTCCACGTGTATGAATGTAGGGTTTCCTGCGGGATCAAAATTAAGCCTAAAAAACAAAATTCTTCCGCCTTCAGGCGGCGCCGCGACGCTAGGGATGTGGCGCCGCGGTGCCACACTTCTATTTATGCCGCATTTTTGTGGCGCTGCGACACCACACCTCAGCCACTCTACGTTTGTGGCGTCGGAGCGCCACTTTTGCTTCCCTTGACGACATAGTTTTACTCTTTTATCCGTTTCGTTCATATTTTGTCTTTGATTCATGCCAATAGCCTTGTTTTTCCCTTTTTTTCTATGATTTACATCATCTCACCATTCCTACAAAACAATATTAACAAATATATTAAAAATGTTCAAAACTCATAAGATTTAACTTATAACCAAGTTAGAAATGGAATAAAACTCGTGAGTAAAACACCATCGTCAAATTTCATAAGAATTTTAGCAAAATGGAATCAAACTATTTATTTTCAAAAACCAAGAAAGTGGTCACACGAGAATTGGTAATTGTATGTTAATAAGAAAGCTAGTCCACCATGTGCATCAAGTCGATTTTTCATAGAAGTTTTAAGAATGCAGTTACGTTAAATTCCATGTCTTCAAACGGGATAATTTATTATTATTATTATTATTATTATTATTATTATTATTATTATTATTATTATTATTATTATTATTATTTTATCTTTTATTTGAAGTTTACATAGCCCTCCTGGCTCCAACTCCAAGTGCTATTTTTCTTTCTTTATTTATAGAGCGTTACTTCGGTTATTAAAAAAAAACCCGCACATTCGTTATATAATTTCTGTATTCCAAGTAATTACACCTTATTATGCAATTTAATGAAACAAGTGTTGTAAAAAAAGTATGATATGTTCGGTAGAAATATTTAAATACTACTGAGTGGTGATGAGAAAAAAAGATAAATTCAAATCTTATATTTGTTTAGTTCTATAAATAATGTAATGGTATAATTGTTTATTTGTTAGAATTTTAGATTCAAAATTTCTTATTTTGATGTATATATAGTGGAATGTGCTTTAGGTTTTGCTTGAAAGGTGATATTTTGTAGACTACATATCAATGGTATGAAAACAGGCTCTACTCAAGATATTTGTATGAAATTTGCTTTTACCATTTTGGGTCGACCCTGTTTTCATACCATTGATATGTAGTCTACAAAATATCACCCACTGAGAAATAAATTTAAGTTGGTGTTTGGTGGGGATTAAAATTAGATTTTTAGTAGATCGTGATAGAAGTTTTTGAAATGTGTGGTTGAAAAATTGTGATATTGATTGTTTGACTTTAACTTAAATTAAAATCTGATTTTCATTTGAAACAAATAGGGCCTAAATGTGAATATATCAAAATGATTTGTTGAAGGGACTTTTGTTGAATATAATTTTTAATTCTAATATTTTATAAAGGGTCATGGGTGTTTAGGAAAATGAATATTTTTAAAATATATATTTTTCTTTATTTTTGTTTTCATTTTAAAAAAATATGTTATGGAAAAGTGGGAGATGTGAGTTTTTTCCTTGTTAAAAAATGGTCAAATTGATAGAATTAACGAACTCTTGTACGGAGATGGTCTAGAAGTCCTTAGGCTACGTATTTATCCAAAAGTTGGGGATTGTGTTGCCAAAAAGCAAAAGGCTTGGATTCATCTGTACCTTTTGAAAATATTAGGGACCCAGCTGAAATTTTTCCATTTTACAAATGCTTAATACACTGCGTTTTCTACCTCAATTCTTAGGTAGTTAAGCACGTGCTCGGGGGAAATTAAAATTTTAATTTTAATTTAAAAGTCAATAGTTGATTTTAATCACATATGTTATTAGATTCATAATTTTTCAATCACATAATTCATTAATTTTTATTAAAAATTATTAAAAAATTAATTTTAATCTCTACCGTGAGCTAAACGACATTTTAATAGCCATAAGTCTGTAGTAAGAGAAATCGTTATGAACCCGTAAACCATCTCTATGGGGGTGGTGAAGGCATAACTCCAATTGGTAAAGAAAAACCTACCATCCCTTGAGGTTATCCCGCACTTGGAAGCAGAAATAGGAAAATGAATAAATATAATGAATTTCTTTAGAAAGATCTTTTGTCTCATGATAACCTACTAAAGTACCCTTACGAAACTTTCGTTATCGAGTTAGTCATACACTTCACATGTAAGCCATCAATCATTTTTGGTTGAATAACCTAAGAAAAGCTACTTGCTAGGATCCAACCCTGATGTGAGTATTATTTTTGGTGGGATTGGATGCAGGGTTTTCTAGAAGAGTAATCAATTTCCCTTCAACATTAGCATAATTTCCATTATACATTTGAAGGATTTAAATCCTTGAGATTTTTATTGCACAAATTCTAAATTTTAGTAACTAAAATTGAGTTGAATTTTGATGAGTTTTTTATATTGCAAGTATACGATATTGTAACAAATTATATAGTGGACTTTTGAGTCTAGATTATTGTACCCACGAGGTCGATGCTTTAAGGTTTAATCTAATTTTTCCAACTTCTATTTGATGAAAGCAAACAAATAATTAAAGGTTATTGTGAATTTTTGGTTTAAACACTCGAAATTAATTAAAATACATATGAAGATCAATTTAGAATTCAAATAATGAACTGATATTAGGGCAGAACAATTTCACTTATTGATCACCTTTAAATCTGAATTTAAGATTCAAAAGTCTAATATAGTGTTCGATCGAATTCTTCTATTATATTCAATTTATCCATTTGGAGTTCTTATTGAATCTATTTAATTAATTCAATCACATATCTCTACGTGAATCAAGCTTAGTTAAACGAAACATTAATACTAAGAATTCATATCATGATCGCAATAATTAATATAAGTATCTCTACAGGTTATACTAATTTATCGAATTTTACTATATGGTCTAAATCTCAAACTCACTTTTTGATTCGTAAAAGATTCGCAAAATCATCAAATTAGTGTTCAAGTAATTTAACGCATTAAACTCATAGCAAAATCAACACGTTTTTCAAATAACAAGAATCTTGAATAAAATTAATAAATGGTTCTAAGTAGATTACATTATTTGCCCTAATATGAATTTTAACTACTCCTAATGCAAATAGAAAAAAAGAAGTTGTTCTTGAATATATCACCAATTTTGAATAAAGATGTAAAATAATAATAATAATAATTTTGTACCAAGATCTTCTTTCTCTTCCAGCCCATGTTTCAAAACTTGAATTTCTTGATATTTCTCTCTTGAATTGCGCTCTTCAATCTTTAGTTGTATTCTCTTTCTCTCAACGTGTGAAACCCTTATAAAAAGCCAATAACTCCTCTTTATACTCATCCCCACATTTGTATGAATGTGGGGTTTCTTGTGGGATTAAAATTAAGCCAAAAAAACAAAATTCTTCCATCTTTAGGCTGCGCCGCGACGCTAGGGATGTGGCGCCGCGGTGCCACACTTCTATTTCTGCCGCGTTTATGTGGCGCTGCGACGCCACACCTCAGCCACTCTACGTTTGTGGCATCGGAGCGCCACTCTTGCTTCCCTTGATGACATAGTTTTACTCTTTTATCCCTTTCGTTCATCTTTTCTCTTCGATTCATGCCAATAGCCTTGTTTTACCCTTTCTCTCTATGATTTACATTATCTCACCATTCCTACAAAACAATATTAACAAATATATTAAAAATGTTCAAAACTAATAAGATTTAACTTATAATCAAGTTAGAAATGGAATAAAACTCGTGAGTAAAACACCATCGTCAAATTTCATAAGAATTTTAGCAAAATGGAATCAAACTATTTATTTTCAAAAACCAAGAAGTGGTCACACGAGCAAAAACAAAGACAAGAAAAAAAAAATATTGCACGACGTAAATTGGATGAGAATTGGTAATTGTATGCTTAATAAGAAAGCTAGTCCACCATGTGCATCAAGTCGATTTTGCATAGAAGTTATAAGAATGCAGTGAAGATTTGCGCACCTTCTATTTTATTTGAAGTTTACATAGCCCTCCTGGCTCCATCTCCAAGTGCTATTTTTCTTTCTTTATTTATAGAACGTTACTACGGTTATTAAAAAAATAACCCGCACATTCGTTATATAATTTCTGTATTCCAAGTAATTACACCTTATTATGCAATTTAATGAAACAAGTGTTGTAAAAAAGTATGATATGTTCGGTAGAAATATTTAAATACTACTGTTTAGTTCAATTCTATATATTTGTTTAGTTCTATAAATAAATTAGAATTTTATTTATTTTACTATTTTTTAATACGTATTAAACATCTATTCGAGTCTCTCTCCAACGACTCTTATCCGAGGGACGTTGATCTTTTTTCCTTTCTGTGTCATTGCGTTCTATATTTATATCTAGGATGGAGATCACGCGATTATTGTAGTTAGTGCTAGGTGACTCCGTGGTGGCGTCAATCCGAAACTAGCCAAAGCTCTACACTCTATTTTGGGTCGCAATTTTCTCAAGATAGTGCTTTTCTATTAAGGAGGTCGAAACAAACTCTTTAAGAGCAGTACAAGGTCTTAATTCTCTATTCGATTTGATGGTGAATATTTATATTGTTTGAGATTTGTAGAGATGGCAAACGGGCCGAGTGGCTCGTCGGCTCTACTCGTGAAAGCACTAGCCTTGAGCCGCAAGTGAGCTCGACGAGCCGAAGGCTCCGCTCGTCGAGCAGCTCGTTGGCAAGGCCGTGAAAAATTAAAGAAAAATGTAAAAAAAAAAAAAGGTGAAAAAGTAAAAATAATAATAATAAAAAAAATTCACGGTTTCCATCATGTCACTGAACTTTACCTACGGTATCCACCAGGTCACCGAACTTTGTACATCATGCAGTTCGTAGGTTAATTACCCTAAACGTATCTTAACTTTACCTACGGTTTCCACCAGGTCACTTAACTTTCTACATCTTATGCGGTGAGTCATTGAACTTTCGAAACTACAATCTCATCCATCACTAAAAATTCCAACACTCACAAACGTGCCACGTAGGATATTCCGTTAGTCACATCTTCAGTTCCGTCAAGTTTTTTAACGAAAGTTAGTTTGGTGATGGATGAGGTTGCAATTTCAAAAATTCGTGACTAACCATGTAGTTTTTAAAGTTCAATGATCTGATGAAACCTTTAGGTAAAATTCAGTGACCATTGGGGTAATTAACCCGTCCGAATTGGACGGGAGAGCAATTTTTAATAGTATATTTGCAAAAAGTTCAAATAGTGTGGTCCTCAGACGAAACTACATTTGATTCCAAATAAAAGATATTCCCACTTTGTCTATTTGCACCCTATTTATAGTAAAATAAATTAACAACACTCAAAACAAAACTTTAACGCTGGCCATGGCTTCTCTATTCACACCAATTCTTCACCTGATTCCATCACTCCTACTAACCCTAACACTCCTCCAACTACACCCAGTTCACTCCCATTACTACTCTTCAACGTCGTCCCCCTATTCTCCCGCTGCCGCAGCGCAATCTGGGTGGAAGCCCGCCAGGGCCACCTACTACGCGGCTGCGGATCCCCGCGATGCGGTCGGTGGGGCTTGTGGGTATGGTGATCTGGAGAAGAGTGGTTATGGGAAGGCCACTGCTGGGTTGAGTACAGTTCTGTTTGAAAAGGGTCAGATCTGTGGCGCGTGTTACGAGGTAAGGTGCGTGGAGGATCTACGGTGGTGTATTCCGGGTACTTCTATTATTGTAACGGCGACTAATTTTTGTGCTCCGAATTATGGGTTTGAGCCTGATGGTGGTGGCAAGTGTAATCCGCCAAATGCCCATTTTGTGTTGCCCATTGAGGCTTTTGAGAAGATTGCTATTTGGAAGGCTTCCAATATGCCAATCCAGTATCGAAGGTACTAAAAGACATTATTTTCCTCTTTTTTATGTTGTGATTTTTGGACTAAATTATCGTTTTGGGTTTGGTATGGCAGTGAATTGCATGGTAGATATTAGAGGCTGTCACTTCAATTGCTGTTGTTTTTACCTTATGGATTTGCCATATCTTTCTTGCTCTAGTACTTTTACTTACTGGAGATCTACTTGCAAATGTGTGGGATCTGGAAAAATATTAGTCTTATGAAGGACTTAGAAGTTGGTTGTTATCCCAACTTTTGGACCGATTACAGTGTAAAACTATTTGTAGTCTCGAAGGTTTAGGAATAAACTGAGTTCAGTTTGTGATGCAGATCGTCCAGATCTTATACATTTTATTTCATTTGTTAAATGGAAAGTCGCCTTGGTATATCGTATGGGATTTTTGGGGCGTCCGTGTTAGGAAATTCTATCGAATTTAGCCATTTCTTTTCTTGTCAGTGAAATATCTTATAACACCAAGCTGTATGCTAGGCTTATTTTATCATTCTTTTTGTTTTGAATGACCCTCCAGGCTCCATGTACACTGTACAGTTAACTTAGGTTTGACAGCTACGGAATTAACTCATTGACCATTCTCTTTAGCATATTTAGCTTGCGTTTGTATGTACTTGGATTCTAGGATTTGTTGAATTAGTTATGAATGTACTGGATTTTAAATGACTCCAAATTAAGGACGAATTCAAGTCAATCATGGAAAGTTATAAAATGATTGATCGAGTTGGCTCAGGATATGGAATACATAAGAACTCAAAATCATCCAAATAGATGGAATTTTATTGTGGATTTGACATCTATTGGTGGACATCATTCAGTTCAAAACAATCCATAAGAATATGCAAATATGAGCCTCCCATATATCAACCTCATTCAAGGATTCCAAAGAAGTTTAGAAGGGTGCTGATATGAAAATCTGTTCAGGAAATTTTAGTCCAAAAAATAGATTGGGTCCGGCTAAAATTTCAAAAGCTCATGGTAATTTTGGTTAAGGGAAAGCAAATTCAGGCAAAGATGAATCCCATGTAATTGAGGCCAAAACTATTGTGGCTTGAAAATTGATGTGATAATGGATCACACCATTAGAAAATGCTGAAAACACGGGACAAAGTGAGGCAATAGCTGATAATTTAAGTATTTAGTTGTTTCCAAAACCGCGAAGTTTGACCATGAGATCCCAGTAAATCATTTACACAAGTGTACGGGTGATGACTAGTTGGTATTTAGTCGCAATATCAACTGCTTTATAATCAATTTTAATGATACTAAATTAGTCACCTTATCAACTGCTTTATAATTAAATTTAATGAAACTTATTAATAAGAGGGTTGTCCTGAAACATAGGCCTGTAAAAGAAAAATCTTTTTTTACTTGTATGTCAATTTCCTGCAGTTCTCCAGATATTAATCTAACTAGTTCTTTAGAAGCATTCAGATCTCTTTGTTCAAGAATCCCACCTCACACTACACTATCTCGGAGTTATCAACCCATTTCATACGTATTGAATTTCCTTAATTTCATGAGGTAAAATCATAACTTTGTTTCCTGTATTGCTCCATTTTTTACTTTTTATTATTATTATTATTATTATTATTATTATTTTGGAAGAAATGCAACAAAAAGGATAATACGTTATCAGTACACCCAACAAAAAGAAAGTTGAGCATCATCATAATCCACCCCTTGAGTCCCCAAAGATCCCTATTTTCTGGTATATCAATTAAATGATTGTCAAGATTGTCTTTGAAGAGTTTTTCTCTTTTTATCTTTTGGTAATATCTCTCAAAAAGTGGACATGGCATTGATTGAGCATATATTAAGGGAAGGATGACCTAGGTGGTTGGTGCATGTATTGCGAATTGCATGTTCCTAATTTGAAGATAGACCTGATCTCTATAGAACAGGTTAGAAGAGGAAGGTTAGGCCAAAACTAGGTTTCATTTAACCAACTCCACATTTATTGAGAGAACAAGACTTAGCCCCTGTTTGGTGGCCATTATTTTGAGAAAATAGAGTTTTGAATAGTGGTTTTGTTTTTTTAGAGAATGCGTGGTTAGAAAGTAGGAAAATGTTTTGGGTTTACACGTTCAAAGTATTTTATAATGGTCAAACAGAGGCTTAGTTTTATGCTGTTGTATATCTTGAAAATTAATTACTCATTTAGCCAAACCTTTATGATAGTTTTCTATATAGTTTGACTACTCAAGAATCTTTCTAGTTGCCTTCTTGTCTTTTAGTTTCATCTTGGAATTCTGATGCAACATCATGGTTTTGAAGATGGGAACAATACTTCTTACAGTTGATGTCCTAAACTGTGACTTGAAAATTGTTCTTACTTGTTATCATATTGGTATCCAAGTGTTCATTTTCATAGTAGTAATATCATGATAATGAATGTTCATGGAGTGAAAAGCATTGCCCAAAAATCTTCTAGCTTGATATTATTCTGCAGCAATGTCAAACTTTTTCTTTACCATAAGTACAGTGAATTTATCTCTTTGTCTATTCAAGTTTTCAATATATCTCATTTCCATCTGAGTAAACCTTTCTTAATGTTCTTATTCTTGTGTTGATTCTCAAATAGAATCAAGTGCAGAAAGGAAGGAGGCGTCCGGTTCACGATCGGTGGTGCTGGGATATTCTTATCAGTCCTAATAAGCAATGTTGCAGGTGCGGGAGACGTAACGGCAGTGAAAATCAAGGGTTCAAGAACAGGATGGCTTCCAATGGGCAGAAATTGGGGCCAAAACTGGCATATAAATGCTGATATGAAGAATCAACCCATTTCATTTGAGGTCACTAGTAGTGATGGATTGACTATTACATCTTACAATGTTGCTTCAAAGAATTGGAGTTTTGGACAGACTTTTGAAGGTAAGCAATTTGAATCTTGAAATTTACCCAGAATCCGAGAATTTGTCTGTATTATTGAACTGGTTGGAGCTAGAGAGGTTAGGGGTGTGCGTGGGAACTACAATTTTCTCTCTCTCTCTCTCTCTCATAGATGGGAGGCTTTAAATCTCCCATTAGACGTGGCAACAAGTAGAATGGAATGGAAAAAAAGGATTCATGTAGTGTACCCAAATTTATTGGGTACAAGGCTTACTATGTTGTTGTAGTGGCGTCTTAGACGGGAATTTAAGAACCTTGGAATACCAGAGGTGGTCTCCGGTGGTGGTACTTCTTTGTATTTGATATTGAAATGTAGAGTATGTAATGTTAGTAGTTCCCACGTTGGAGAAGAAATGCTCCCAGTTTAATCTTGAAATTGTTAGTGCTGAATTCTGCATCACAAAGCATCTGTTGGTTTTTCTCGTCATGACTTCTTTACTTCTTTTTAGGCAAAGTATAATTCAGTTTGAAGGATGTTTTAATTTCGATGAAATGTATTGTACGATGGAGTAGACATGCACAAATTGATCCAATTTAATACGTGACATTGTTTGTTACTAGTGCCAAATTTAACATTCTAAACATATTTGGATCTTGGACTGAAGTGAAAACATTGATGTTTTTACATTCTTGATCAAATTTATGAAGATTCACCCACTACTTGTTATTCTGTACAATACAAATGAATTTTGTCTAATTCATTAATTCGTGAGAAGATGCTGAATTTTTTTACTTGAAAAAGTGAACCCGGGACATTTTGTATCCAAAACAAATGTGCAGTAACTAAACTGCGTTATATCCCTTTTTTTGGGCAATTTGGGGTCAGCATATGTTTGGCAATTTGCTAGAATTCTTAAAAAACAAGATCATTAACTACCACCAACGACAAAAGCTTATTTAAATTTACGCAAAACATGTCTCAACAATTGAAGTGATTGACGACAACCAGTGTTACCTCCACTTGTTAGCATATATTTGAATGGATTAATCAATGAACAAAGAATTAAGCTAGTATGCCAAAAAATGTTTGTCCACCTGAGTGACTTAAACTCACATGGTGTAGGACCGATGTGGGGACCCGAGTGAAATAAAAAATGAAAAAAAAATGCTCACCCCCTCCCCAATGTGTGTGTTCTGTCAGACACCCTCCCTGGCACACCAGCTCGGTTCATGAACAAAATTGTTAACTGTAGTAACACCCGGATATTAAAGGTAAAGAGTAACTCTAGTTAGGCTCGACAGTGTCGTATATAGAACTGGGGTTCCAAGTTGGACAAACTATTCTACCAACAGAGTTTAGAATTCAGATAACCCTCGAATGGACTTACCATAAAGGGATGAGAAACATATCAACTGCAAGAAAGATTACCAACAGCACTTCTCCAAAGGATAAGCTGGGGTCGATATGCGAAAAATTTATCACATAGATCACTCCGAATCAGTAATAAATCAACACTGGAGGGAAAGTGACATGAATCTACAATATAAGTATACATTACAAATGCGCAGGAAATAGATGAACTTCAAGGATCAATAATAAATATTTTAAAGGAATATGACTCCCTCTGTACCGAAAACCCCATTCAAGAGAATTCTTGAATTGAAGAATCCCGAACTCTGCTGTCAACCACAATAGAAGATGGGTTACATGGAAAATCATTCACAAGGAATTAAGTACTTTCTAGATAATTTTGATAAGCTGATGGAAGTTACCGCTCAGGTTTGATCCAGGTGATTCTTTGAAAATAAACAAAGCATATGCCCCATTACATAATAGACAGCTAACAGAGGAAAGTAAAGCAGAACCAAAAATGCTCTCATGAGTCGACAAACTTATTTCCTTTCCCCATTTACTTCTAATAAATCAAACCAAAGAAGGTATCTAAATCTCTCGTTTCCTCATTTTGCCTTTTTTTTCATTAAGATAGATAACATAAGCAGTTAACTATTCCATTTCTATTAGGAGAACACTTGGAAAGGTAGTAAATTCTAAAAATCCTATGGTGTAAAATATCTACATATGGCCTGGACTACTCAAAAAACATGAAAGTAACTCTAAGAACCATGTTCAAAATCAAATGCAAGTCAGAATATTACCAAAAATGCATCCTACACCCAAAATACAAAGAAGAATCAAATAATATAATGCTGACAGCTGATTAAACTAGGTAAATTGATGTCGTAAACTAAATTTAACCCTTCTCATGAAATATCCAGATTTACCTCATTAGTGCACCTTCCAGGTACAAAATGTAGATATGCAACCAAGCAACACTTTTTTTCCTCAGATGAATGCTCATCTAAAGCCTATTGGGTCAACTTCTCTTATAGAGCAAGGTTCACGATGCTAATCAGTAAGGGAGAAGGTCAGTGGACAGAGTCAAATACACTGTATTATTAACCCTTCAACAATGATATTGGGAAACACAGTAGTCATAAATGCCTTATGGACGAGAATAAATATGTAGTATACTCTCCTAAATTCGATTCTAGTTGAGTTTATGATCAGCAACCATGACAATGCTACATCAGCCACTTTGTAAACCATTGCATACTCACTAAGTTATAGCATCAGCTTTATGCGAAATACACAAGCAAGAAAAAGGGAAATCCTCAACTTCACATGAAAAATCTGTTTTAATGTTTCAGGAATTAAAATTAGTTTTGGAATTTAATACATAATGTGAGCTGTTACTACCTCTATTTAGCCTATGTTTGGCCCCCATTTCTCCAAAAACCTCATATTTCCAACTCATTTTCAACCACGCATTCTTCCATAAAATAATTTTACTCGCAAATTCAAAAATTTTCCTTATTTTTTAATCAAATTTTCCAACAAAATATTATTCCAAAATGCAGACCTAAAAATGGGCTTACACCATGTTTGGTGAAAATTAAAATTCAGATGTTAATCTAAGTCAAAGTCAACAATTAATTTTAACCACATATTTCATGAGTTCCACAACTTTTCAACCACACATTTTATCAACATTTATCAAAATCTACTACAAATCTAACTTTAATCATTACCAAATAGGGGCTTAATGTTATTTGAATTTTTATTTTTTTTTATGACTCAAGTATCCAAGTTTTGCTTGACTAATCCAGAGGAGTGGCGACCTTTCCCCTTTGTTCGTCACCAAAGTAAATTAGATATGGTTACAGCTTATACACACTTGAGCCCGACATTCGGAAATCGATTTTCCTTCCTGTGGACCTCCTTTACGACGTGCGGACGGGACCCTGTAGGGGTGACAAAGCGCACCATGAATTTGTCTCCACAGGACATCTACCTTCTAACATAAATGTTGCCTTTCAACTGCCGCGGGAATTCGAACCTCCAATACTCCATAAAGAACCCTTCTGCTTTACCATTATGCCATGCCCGTGGGGGCATGTTATTTGAATTTTAATAAGACATCAGTTGTTCAAGAGTTGTTTCTCTTAGTTTCGTAAATTTTATGTCATGACTCGTGTCCATCTAGGACCATTGGCCATTAAGTATATTTTTCTTATAATTCTGAGAATTACCCTGGGATGAGCATGTAACTTGTGAAACTTGTTTTGAAGGTTCAGTGCAACCTCACCAATTGCCAGGAAACCTAGGTGGGAATTCCAGAATCTTCTTATTATTCTAAATCCTTCTCCATATTTAAAATCAATAAAAACATCCCCAAAACTTGCCTAGACAACCGTTGAACGTAGTTTAGAAACTGCCTAAGTTTCTATTGCTGATTCATCAATACCCATCTTTCCCACAATTTAAACCCTTTGAAAGCTCAAACTTTCACTAACTGTTTCAGCCACAAAATTCCAGAAAATCCAGCTCTGAATATTCACCATACAGCTGGTTATTGCAGAAGAATCTTTCCTTTGTTCTACATCATTAAAAGCACATGTACCAACTTAAAATCCTAAAATTTGTCAAAAATAATTGAAATACAATGATCTAGCAGACTCTCATTTAGTTATTCCCATCATGGTTCATGTTTTAAACACAATATAGCTGAGAGATGGCATCAATCACACTGCCTGAATACCCAACATATGTCATTAAACTCATATAAAGAATGCGAAATGCAGATACAAGGCATGAGGCAATAGGCATAATGGAACTACATCATGCACAAGGTAGCTTCAGTACATAAAGTACTGGAAGTTATGGCTGATGGAGGATACAACACTTCCGGTTTAGATTTGAAATATCATTCATGTTTGACCCAGAAGATGTAATATGATCGGCAACTGGGTGACCTACAAGCGCTTATAACCTTCTCCCATGCAAGGGGCTAGCTTGTAAGCCCCGGAACTTGAATGCCTCCATTTGGCAAATTTTTAAATGGTTTATAAATAAGAATAGTTAGAAGAACAATAGTTGATCCCACAAAATGTGCGGATAATAATAAGTAATAAATATGAATGTGTGATTAAAATTAATGTTTGAATTTGAAAGAATTTATAAACTAATTTATAAATTGTATCCAAATGGAATGTTAACTGATAGCATGAAACAAAGGGGAAATGACGTGAAGAAATATATTCACCAGAATATCTGTTTAATAATTTGATATCATTTGGTCTCTCTTGCTGTGGTTGTAAATCAAGAAATGGTTCCTTTGCTGCTTGCGCTCTGTTCTTTTTGAGCAACCAATGAAACAAACAAAGACTGTTTAATTACATTAATGGCATCGCTGAGTTGTAATATTTCTCCATCTTCTAAATGGGCCCAAGTATAACTGTATAAGCTGATATTATACCTTATTCTTCTGATGCAAACACATTCTATTGGTTTTAGTTTAATTGGCTGTTGCTAGAAGGTCAGTCGTTCTATAAGGTACCCAAGAGCATTCATATAAAATAAATCGTAGTTAGCAACAAAAAGCACCCGCTACTTTAAACATTCAATGCATAAAACTTCACAAGTTTAGATGAAGATTCTTTGTTTCTTTTCCTAATACTGATAAATGTAAGAGCTTTTTGATCAAACAAGGACATGCATACA